AATTTTACCTATGTAAGTGCAAAAGCTTCGATTTCAGCAAAGTGACCTTGGCCGAAGCTTCGGCTTAGGCAAAATTTTAGCGTTGGTACATCCCTACTCGAAAGTACTTGCTTACAGAGAAAAAAAAACATAAAAAAAAACAAACAATAAAATAACAAAAAACAAAAAAAAAGAATGAAAAGTAAATAGGTTTAAGAAGCTTTCAACGTTTTAATCATATACGCTTATTTTTGAAGTTGTATTTACTTTTTTACTTTCTGTTTTACTCTTTTCACTTTTTTTATTTTAGCTCATTCAATTTCTTATCTCTTTTTCATATCTATTTTATCATATTATTAATTACATTATTATTAGCTTTATAAGCGTATATTAAGCATTATTCATATTTAGAGTTTTTATATTTTTATTATACATTACTACTACTTTTGTTATTACTGTCACTATTGTTATTACTATTGACATTTTTGTGATTGTTATTATTGTTATTGTTGTTATTATTATCTGTGGGGTCATCCATACCGGACGTCACGATAACTTTAATTAATGACAAGAAGTCGGAGAATGTTGTCTCTCCTGCGCATAGACTTTTAGAGTATTACAGCGCTTTATGTTCAATAAAAATCTCCGCGGAAGGGAGCCAATACACTTCTACTTATGGTTAGTATTTAAACTCTTAATGACGTCCTTTATGGACGAACCATGTTATTATTATTATACTGGAAATATTTTTATCATAAACTTCATCATTGTTGTAATATCGTATAGTTACTACTATCCTTATGTTGTTTCTATTTTTTTAATTATTTCATTAATATAAATATTTTTATTTCTAAACTAATTTCTATTGTTATGTCTAAAGTATGCAAAATTTGTGACAAAATTATTTCTGCTAATCATCTTTCACTTCAATGCAACCATGGCTTTTTTTCAATCCACAAGAAATGTAGTTCTTTGTATAATAATGATTTTAGTTTATCAAAAAATTCTTCCATGACTTTTTGGCTCTGTATAACATGCTGCGACAATATTTTTCTTTTTAGTTCAACTTTAAATAATGAACTACGTCTTCAAACTTTAATTGTCAATATATTACATCTCAATGATCTGCCAAATGATCTTTCCTCTTTCCTTGCTCCCGAGAATCTTATGCTTCTAATCAACTTAATAATTACTTAACTTTTTCAGCTAAATAACAACGACGATGATGATATGAACATGGTTGAGTACCCAATCAATTGTAAATACACAAGCATAAAAATTTTCAACTCTTCAGACATCAATAATAATTGTTTTTCCTTATTTCACTTAAACATTGCGTTTTTAGTTCAACATTTTGATGAGTTAACCCAGTGGGCACCGGATGTCTTTTGAACGTTCAAAGACGTCTTTTGAACGTTCAAAAGACGTCCAAAACGTCTATAAGACGTTTATAGGACGTCTTTTTTACGTCTGTGCCGACTGACGTCTTCACTTTTATCTTTAATAAGTTATGAATGTTGTATAATTGGAATTACAGAAACCAAGTTCAAATCTGATTTACTCCCAACAACTCCAATAAATCTTAGTAGATATGTTTATAAACATACTCCAACAAAAATTTTATTTGTAGGTTCCACTTTATACTTCTAATGAAATAATTTATAAATCCGAAATGATTTATATATATATAAAACCCAAGAGTCTGTGTTTGCTGAAATCATTTTCCCTAAAATGTCTTATACCATAGTAGGTTGCGTATCGCCATCCTAAAATGTATATAAAACCCAAGAGTCTGTGTTTGCTGAAATCATTTTCCCTAAAATGTCTTATATCATAGTAGGTTGCGTATCGCCATCCTAAAATGTAAATTAATGACTAATGAATTTAATGTTTCATATTTAGCTATTCTATTTGAAATTACTGTTGAAAAATATAAAACTATCTTTATAATGGGTGATTTTTATATAGATTTTGTAAAAGCAAACACAGATAATTTAATCTTTTACTTTTATTGATGATATATTTTCTAATTCAACTTCTAAATATATTTTTTCCGACAATCTAACCATAAGAATATTGGATTATTTGCCAGTTTCTAATTTATTCAGCTTTTAAAAAAAGAAATGTTAATTCTCGTAAAACAATATTTTTCTTTAAAACATTAAATAATTAAGAATTGAGGATTACTTGAAAATAAACTGGGAGAAAGTAATCAATCTTTCCAATGATAACAGAAATATGAAGATTTTTTCATATTTGTAGCTTTAGCTCTCTTCAAGACAAACACGTCGATTACTAATTTCTACTAAAAGAAATAAGTAATCTGGGCTTAACTCATAGCCTTAAATCATGGATTACTTAAGCAATTTAAACCTCGATGAGATTTAAATTGAGTAGAATTTCTTTAGAAATTCTATAGAAATTCTATAAAAATGCTATAGAAATTAATTCTATAGAATTTCTATAGAATTTCTATAGACTTCATTGTAGTAATAGTTTAATGGCTATTTTAGTATTTAATGGTTATAACCCAGCAAACATGTCAGCGTTGAATCAACGTTGAAAACCGGTCGCAAAAGATGTTGCGGAAACGTTGACAAAGTAATCGATTTTGCAAAAATATGTCACGTTGTTAAAAAGACGTTGATTAAACGTTATAGCGTAACGTTGAAAAAACGTTACTAAAAGACGTTACAAAAATGTCGCAACTAAACGTTGAAAAAGCGTTACTTACAAAGCGTTGCATAAGCGTCGCAATTTAACGTTAAAAAAACGTTACTTGAAAAGTGTTACTGTAACGTTGGTAAAGCAGTCGATTTTGCAAGGTTTTTTAACGTTAGCAATAAAACGTCGATTTAACGTGACTCAAAGACGTCGAGTAAAGGTTGAAATATAATGTTGAATCAACGCTTAAATGCGCTAGAGCAAATATCGCAAAATGTTATTAAATGCAACTAAACTTGGCTATGATATATAGTGAATTGGCAAATAAAACTAAATTGTATGCTGAACTCTGCACTTGTAATATTTCTAAAATCGATTTTTAATACAAACAGTAATATACAATCAAAAATTTAAAAATATACAATTTATTTATATAAAAAGTATACAATTTAAAGATATATATATATATATATATATATATATATATATATATATATATATATATATATATATATATATATATATATATATATATATATATATATATATATATATATATATATATATAAATATAAACATTTTTTAAGATTTATGTGTGTGAGTGGAATTACAGGATATCGTAACGATAGGCCAGGATATCATTGAGATACAGAATCTAAATCAAAAAATAAAACTTGTATCATTAGCAGTCTGATAGCAAATGTTTAAAAAAATGTTATTGAATTATAATTATCATTATTAAATTTAAAAAATAAAAATGAATATATATATATATATATATATATATATATATATATATATATATATATATATATATATATATATATATATATATATATATATATCAATATGTATATATATATATAATAAAAATAAGTTATAAAATATAACTTAATGAAAATATTTTTTAAACCATATGCATAGGTTTTCCTTGCCTTTCCATTACGGCAAATAATTTTTGTAATGGCTAATTGTTGAGACAATAATTTCAATGCGCCACTTCCTCAACGTTGTCAAAGCAACGTTTAATTAACGTTGGCAGAGTAACACTTTTTTAACGTTTTTTAATTACATTTTCAACGTTGGTATATGTAACGTCAATAAGCGTTGTTTTATAAATAGCTTAAATACGTTAAAAAAGCAGCTAATGTCTAACGTTAATAAACTTTGCGACGTTTTTACAGTGATTATTTGCGTACTTTAATTCAACGTTGAATAAACGCGATTGTTTGAGAAGATAAGATACGTTTAAATTTATACGCTTATTTAACGTTGAAAGTGTAACGTTTAAAAAGCGGTTTGTTTTTAACGTTGATAAAGCATATGCTTTAAAACTTTTTTAGTTGCTTTTTGCGCAAGTTGATTCCACGTTGAATAAACGTTTTATTTTGAGAAGCTAAATTACGTTACAATTTCAACGCTTATTCAACGTTTTAATTTACCGCAGTTTAGTATACAAAAACAGACATTGATTCAACGTTGAAAGCACGTTGTTTTTGTGACTGTAACGCTTTTTCTACACTGCGACTGGTTTTCAACGTTGATTCAACGCTGACATGTTTGCTAGGAACTTTTGCAATTGTTATGTTTATTTTTATAATTTCTGTCATATTTATAAACTTTACTATAACTTTTTTTACCATAGTTTTTATCATTAGTTATAATTTTTTTTTAAGTTTATCATATTATTTGTAATGTTTTTTTATTCATATTATTATTCTTATTGTTATTATTATTATTTTTATTTTTATTATTATTGCTATTATTAATAGTATCATTGTTAATTAGAGTTTATTTTCTTTTCTTTCCTTTTTTTTTACTCTCTCTCTCTCTTGTTTTTATGTTAGTTTTCTTTGTTTATTGTTTGTTTGTTTGTTTTTGTTGTTTTTTTGGTGTCACTTTATTGACTAGTTTTTAAATATACGAGTGGCACCTAACCTTATTAATGTGACTTTATAATATATTATTGTAATTTTTTTATATTTTATGTTTAAATAAAGAGACAAAAAAAAAAAAAAAACAATACCTTCAGCATTATGCAAACATTCTGTATATGAACTATTCTTGAAAATATATACCTAGAAAAAAAATGTTTCATAGAATTTCTTTTAAACTTTTGAAACATATAGCCTATAGAAATTCTATAGAATTCTATAGAAATTCCATAGAACCTCTGTTAATTTCTATAGTAGTTTTTATAGAATTTTTTTCTACAGAAAAAAAGATTTATAGCAATCTCAATAGAAATTAATAGACATTCTATTTATTTTATAATATATATTTTGCCTATAGAAATTCTATAGAATATCTATTGGCAAAATGTTGCAATAGTTTATGAAAATCCTATGGGACTTTTTTTTCCTGGGTGGTGTATAATTTTTATAGAACAAATAGCCGAAGGAAAAATTCAAATATTTGTTCTATTTAGAAAATCTAAGAAAAATCCTCAGAAGAGCGGTTTTTAAAAAGACTTGGCCACTAATAAATCAGCTTGCCCTACTAAGTTGAAATTTCGAAAACCATGTTTCCATAATAAAAGATTATAAATTAATGGTACTTTTTTTTTATAAAAAAACTTTCTTTTTTTTTATGTTAATTTATGCTCTATTATGTAAATAATGTATATAAATTCTTAAAGGAGTTTTATTTATATTTATACCATGAGTTTTATTTATTCTTATACTATACCTTTTTTTAGATATAAACAGAAGAGTATGGGTGATCTAAAGATGATAAAAATATTAAAGATAACTGTTCTTCTTTGTTCACTAGTGTTAGTTACTTACTTTGCTTATCAACCGAATTTCAAAATTAAAAACTAAAATTTCAAAAAAATTTTCAAAAGAATTTCAAAAAAAAACTAAAATTTTCTGTTCACAGCATTACACATAAACGTTATTTGGATTTTTATACGGACAACCAAATAAATTTCAAAAGAAATGTTTTATCTTACTCATTGTTTGGAAACAACTGGGATAGGTACGGAAAAAATGTTGAATTTGTTGCAAAAGAAGCAGCAAACAATAGCTTATATAAAAACTGGATAGTCCGAATTTATCATGACAAGTACACGATAACACCAACTGTTGTTGCAAGCTTAACTGAGCGTTATCAAAATTTTTAATGGAATGGTGTGGAGATTTTTAATAGTTGCCGATTTAACTGTGGATATTGCGTGTATTAGAGATTTGGACACAAAAATTATAGAACAAGATACTGATGCTGTAAAAGTTTTGCTGGAATCAGGTAAGCTGGTTCATTCAATGAAAGATCATCCTCAACATGATATACCAATTTTGGGCGGTATGTGGTGTTATAGAAATATACATAACCGAGACCTAGGAATTAAAATAGCTACTATTTGTACTGAAAAGTGCATGGGTCGTGATCCTATCAAACAGTTGGAATCAAAAAGAGGAGATGATCAGGATGTTTTAAATTCGCATGTTTGACCTCTAGTCAGCCATAATGTATTAATACACGATTCATATTTGTGCGAAAGCGATACTAAAAGTCAACCTTTTCCCACAAAAAGAGATGTAACTGGAGAATTTGTTGGACAAATCAGGAATGGATCTGCAAAAATGGTTAAGTGTCCGATTGCATGCCGCCCAAAAGAACATCAAGATTGGGAATTTTGTTAATATTATTAATTTTATCAAATTATATATATATATATATATATATATATATATATATATATATATATATATTATATATATATATATATATATATATATATATATAGATAAATAGATATTTGCGTTTTATTATAATATTATTTATAATATTTTTTTTTCAATTTATTTATGAATTATAAAAAGTTATATTTCTACAACAAAAAAATGTAACTAGAGAGGGCACAATCCAGCAAGGCAAAAAGAAGAAGGCCAGCACTTAGGAGACTTTGCAAAGATTAAAATAATTTTACTTACTTTAACCATTTACTTCACTTACCGACCGAGTTGCAGAAATAAAAAAGTAAAATTTTTTTTGTTCACAGCATTACACATAAACGTTGTTTGAATTTTTATACGGATAATTCAATTTAGTTAAATAGAAACGTTTTGTCTTACTTGTTGTTTGGAAATAACTGTGATAGGTAGGGAAAAAATGTTCAATTTGTTGTAAAAGAGGCAGCAAACAATAGCTTATATAAAAACTGGATATTTCAAATTTATTATATAAACAATAGTTTATATAAAAACTGGATATTTCGGCGCGGGGCCCCCTGCGATACCCACAGCAGGGAGTGCGCCAGTGCGGCGCGATGACCTGGGGGAGGGGATGGTTGATCCTCTTTTAGAAGAGAAGAAAACCGAAGAGTTTTTTTAATTCCCTTGTTTTCCATGAGTTGAATGGTTTATAAAAGGTATTTCATTAAAAGTATGATGATTAAGAAAATTTTTAAGAATTTTAATTATTTGATCTTTTAAAAGAAGAAGAGTAAACTAATGGAAAGTTAATAGGCTGATGACCAGAATTTAAGGGTTCGGTTCCTTTTTCTTTATTTTTGAATTAAATTTTTAAATTATAAAAATAGAATAGTCAACAAGAATAATATAAATTAATATTATTATAATCTTTTTATAAATGATTAAATTTAAAATGAACTAAAACATCTTAGTAATTATAAAACAATATTATGAAAGTAAAGACGACTGAAATCATAATTTTTTCTTTGAATTTACAAAATTGAATAATTGATTATATCTATAGAATTAGTACTGTGAAGGAAATTAATAAATAATTTATAATAAAAAATGACAATCATTTACCTTTTGTATAATAGGCTTATAATATAATAATTAGCAAGCTATAAGGCTAAATAATTTATAAAGTTAATTATTCCCGAAACTTAACGATCTAATTGTGAATAATTTTTAGAATGAACCAATAAATGATAAAATTTTTTGGATAATTTGAAATTGGCAGTGAAAAACTAATCGAGTTAAGAGATAGCAGGTTTTTCATGAAATTTATATAAGTATATTTTTAAGTAATTTTTAAGTAATAAGTAATTTTTTTTAAAAAAAAAAAGCAATTATTTAATGCAAATATTATTTAACGAGTAAAAAACAATTTATATCCAACATCAATGAACTCTATAAACATTTAGAAATAAGTTTATGATTTAAACAAAAAGTAAATAAGCTTAGAATCAGCTATATTTTAAAAATTACGTAAACTTTACTTTAGAAAATTTATAACTTTACAATATACCCTGTGTTTAGACCGAGATCGGCCGATGTTGGATCGACATCGTTACAGCGGTTAATCATCGGCTAGATTTATAATATCGGCTAAACGTTGGCTTGATGTCGGTTGGCCGCCATATATGTACATTTCTCGGGTAACAAACAAATAACCTACATTCATCCGATATTGTTCGGTTTTTTATTGCAGAATTTAAATAAAAAATCGAACTCATTTATTTTTAATCTTAATAATGGCATCGAAGCGTTGTGACAGGCGAGGAGCAAATTTTAAATTGTTAACTTTTTTCACTACAATACTTGGTAAATTTATATTGATTAATTCATTAATAAATTGAATAATGAGTTAATAAAAATTTAACTAAATAGATTCATTAAATCAAAAATTCATTCCTAATATTATAAAATGAATTAATATTATTATACCTTAATATTATTATATATAAAATGAGTTAGATATTATTATAGTATAAATTGAAATTGATGATTTAAAAATTAAATATAATTGTTGTTGTATGTATTCCTAATATAAAATTGTAATAATATATATTGTAACATAAAAATATATGTATAATAATAAGAATAATAATATATTTTAGCTTTTTTTTATATACCTAACAAAATATTTTTGTAATTCTAATTTTAGTTTATTAACGTTAATAAACTAAAATTAGCATAACAAAAATATAGTTATATCTATAATGGAAACTAATATTTTTTAGGTGATAATCGTACTGCACAAGCAAATGGTAATAGTCCTTTAAATTTGATTTTCCTTCATTTAATGTCTGTTGTGATAACAATTTTAGCTATTTTAAATAAGAATGTAATTTAAATTGCATTCTTGTGCTTGTATTCTATGTATTCAATTGGAAATATTTGTGATTTTTATTTTATTGAAAATTACTACAGTTTGCCTGTGTGTTTTTTTAATGTTATAATTTATCTAGTATTATTTATTTTGTTTAGAAAAAACTTGTAGCACTCAAGTAGCAAGCAGTGATAACAGTGATATTGATTTTTCAATATCTGATACCTGTTTTGAAAACAGTATAACTGATTTGTATAACAAACATAATTCAGATAAAGAATGTGATATAAATTCAGACTCAGATGATATTGATAAATATTTGTATACGAACTCTAGTGACAATCAAGCATCAGAGCCCAAAGAAGACGTAAAAGAAAATATTCTCACAATAGACGTATCCCGCATTCCAATGACGTAATGGTGTAATAACATCAGGCAATGATAAAGCGTAAACATTAGAAAATTGTAGTTTTTATTATTTCAAATTAACATGAGTGATTTTGCCTGTTCTACATTAACTAAAAGAGGAGGAAGTGGAGCATTGCATTGTGGAATACATGACTGTATTCCACAATGCAAAAGTTCATTTTACGATTTTCAAAAAAAAAATCAGGAATTGGAATTTTTAAAATACCCAAGAATACTGCTCGTCGAAATAAGTGGGCAAAAATTATTTCATAATTTAGAAGAAAAGGTGGTAATGATAATTTCGTTATTAAGGACACGACTCTAGCATGCGAGCTTCATTTTAAAAATGAAGACATTCAGTTTTTATCCAATATTGGCAGAAAAACTTTAAAAAAAGAAGCATTTCCACCTATTTTTGAATTTAAAAAACAAGTTGATGTACAAAAACGAATTTTCGCATAAAAAAAGAAAATTTATCGAAAACTTTGATATTGAAAACGTTTCTAGAAATGAAGACAATAATTTTAAAAATAACGATAAAGAACTATTAATTGATTTTGAAATTGAGAAAGGTTGCATATTTTGTGTTGAACTACAAAACAAAATTGATCTACTGGAAAAAGAAAAACACGAGTTGCAATCTCAAATAAGCATTTTAGAATCTAAGTATAAAAAAATAAAAAATCAACTGAATCAATATAAAAATAAATACATACTAAGTTATGAAAATATGTCATCAGACAAAGAACTGTTCCAAAAATATACTGGCATAGAACATGAACAGTATATAAATTTGTAAAACTTTTTAAATCCAGGAAAAAATGGTGAAAATATTAAATACCACAACTCAGCATTATCTGAAAATATGGTTAGGTAATCAGGCAAAAACTGGTCCAAAAACAAAATTAAACACAGAAAATCAGTTATTTATGTTTTTAGTGTGGTTTAAAAAATGGATTTACAATTTTGCACACATCTTGGTTATTTAAAATTTCAAAATCAACAACATCTCGTTATTTAATAACATGGACAAAGTTTCTATATTTTTCTTTGGGAAGATGCAAGATGCATTATTGATTGTACTGAACTGTTTTGTCAGAAACCTTCATCACTGAGACACCAGAGTTCTTTATTTTCTAGCTATAAACATCATGTAACTTACAAAGGATTGTTAGGTATTTCTCCTTCAGGAGCAATAACTTTTATAAGTCAACTTAATGATAGATCTATTTCTGACAGGGAAATTGTTGTAAGATCAGGTTTCCTTAATAAAAAACTATGGAACAAAAATAATTCAGTTATGGCTGATCGTGGGTTAACCATTTCAGACCATTTAAACACAATCAATGTTAAATTAAATATACCATCTTTTTTAAAAGGACAACTACAGCTAAGTAAAGAAGGTGCTACAGAAAGTCAAACCATTGGATTATTGAGAACTCACGTAGAACGTGCTATTCGTAAGATTAAAGTATTTCGCCAAATAAGTAATGAAATTCCTTTGGTGTTTCACGGTTCAATTAACCAACTATGGACACTTGTCTTTTATGTAACTTTTTGCCACCACTTATTAAAAAATAAGATCAAAAGTAAAAACATTTATTTACATATAGAGGGTATTATGCTTTCTTTTCTATTTACATTATTGTCCAATACTTGTGGTAAAAAATAGTTAATGTAAAAATTATTTAACTTAGTAATTAATTTAAAAAAGAACTGATTGTCAAAAGGTGTTCTTATAATAGCAATTCCTATAAATGTGTACACAAAGGATCCAAAATCGAGAAAAAACGGAGTCGAGAGAAATCGAGAAAAAACTCCGTCGGAGTCGAGAAAAAATCGGAGTTTCGATAATATTTTGTTATAAAAATTAAACTATCTATTTGATAAAAAAATTAAACTCTCTATTTGATAATTAAACATTGTTCTTGTATTTTTATTTTTTAATTTTAAATATTTCGATTTATAATTCATAATAAAATTTTAAAAAATTTATATTTTTATATTTCTTAGTACATAAATATTTTTTTATCACAATTTTTTAACGAACAAGTTATATCTAATAATTGGCTTTCTAACCAGCATCGGTTAGGAAGAAGGCGTGAACTTTCAGTTAAATGCCCTTCTGCGTTGCTATGCAATAAAGACTTGTTGGGGCACCTATAGTAAAAATTAAAAAAAAAATTTGAAAAAAAAAGTATTTATACTGAAGAT